TTTTTTTTGAGTGAAGGGATGAAATGCTGTTTCAATTCTGATGTTTGCTGGCAACGAATCCGTCCGGATGAAAAATGGTTCTGCGTTTGTGCGAAATACGAAATGAAGGGGCGCAATTTGAGAATGACTCTATGGTGTCTTTTTCTTTCATCTTGATTGAGATGCATTGTCTGATGGATGTTGAATTTTTCTTTGCTTCTTCTAAAATTTAGAGATGATACAATTTTATGAATTTATTTAGCAATTTTTACAGGATTATATAGTTTTGGACTCAAGAACATCATACGTTTGTGTACTCAAGTAAGACAGCCACCTTGATTTACCTGCTTGAAATTTGTAGAAAAAAATCTCAGCCCAATTCCAATTTAAAAACGTTTAGAGGCTGAAATTCCAAAGATTTTTCAGCATCCATGTACAGCCTTGAATTTCTCAGCACTTATGACAAATCAGCTGTATTCTTGATTATACATCAAGGCTAACCATAAGCAAAGCTTCCAAGTACGGGTGAAAAGAAACTAAAAGTTTAATTATTAAGCTATGAGGAACAATTGTATGAGATCCAATAAACAAAGCTCTGATACTGATCAGATCAGTCAGCGATTAAAAAATGCATAAAAAGCTGTGCTATGTCTGAACAACGCGCAATTCAATTCAAGTTTTGTACCTATTCTAATAAAATAAATATTTTTCTATAATTCTGACTTCTTAAAGTATGCACAGCAGGTAACATGCCCACAAAATACTTTCAGCTGTTGTATTGTGCTGTATACAGTATTCTCAGTAGTCTTCTGGATAAAAGCCACAAGAAGGAAATCTCCTCAGAACCTTTTACAGTGTATGAGTCGAAAACATTCATCAAGTTCAATTAAACCCAAATATTCAGGATTAGTCAAAGATCCTTGTCAGCACTTATTTAGTCTCTGCGATCTGTGAACTGTGCTTTCTATATTTTCAGTAATAATGTACCTGTATGAAGGTTTAAAAAAATTACTTTATTTTAACATAGTTCTGGCTTTTAAAGTTTCCTTCTTACACACCTTTCTACGCTTCATATAGGATATAGAAAGTTCACTTTTGAAATTTAATGTTATCTCTTCAGCATACAGCAGCCACTGCAGGCAGTGACAAGCACGCATCCTTATACAGGGAAGGTTTGAAATTTAATTTTTTTGCTTCATTTCACGCGAAATAAGAATTATACATCACAATTTGAATCGATCGATAATATGCTAACCGCAAATGCTTCAAAGAACCAATAGTCAGCTTTGAAAACGCAATCGTACCCGTGGGGTATGAAAGTATCTGTGTAAGTTTCGATTGACGATTTTATGTCATGGCGGCTCCCAAGGGTTTCATCCGGTAAGACTTTTATCACCCACGGTGCGCGCAGTGGTTTAGAGATTGGATTTGCGAAAACAGTGTGTGAATTTTTCCAAAGAGAATGTCACGGAACTGAAACCTGTGTTACAGGCTTCGAAGTTTGTGCTACCTGCTTGTCCGACGATTGAATCAGTATGCTTCCCATGATTGAAGCCTTGTATAATGTAAGCCATGAATTTTGCATTTTTTCGTTCATTACAAAAATAATCGTCATTTCAGGCGCCGGTGTATCACTTGGTTCTTGAAGNAAGGTGGAAGAAAAGGCAATCGCGATCGTGACAGCGACTTATTTGGAGAAGGAGGAGAAATTTTGTCCCGCGCCGAGCATTCGGATTGCTTTAGCCAGTCACCATGTCGAAGAAGATGTTCGTCATCTGATCTCTGTCCTCAACGAAGCCACGTCAGCGCTAAGCTGTTGAATCAGAAGATCTAAAAAGAGCATAACAAGAAATACGTGTCCATCTATCCGGTTCAATGAAACCCAGGGCCTTCATATTTTTATTTGGTTGCGGATCAAATCATGATTGCACCTTGTCATAGTCAACAAAGGTTTTCATAGCATCAGGAAAGCCCAATTGTGATATTCGAGGTGATGAGGGGATCCTGTTACTGCTAGAGAAGCCGCCCTCGTTCACGCATAGCTTATTGTTGTATTTGGTTGAGGTTGTTGTTCATTTTATTATTTTTTGTGCTTACAAGAGGCATAAAATGGTGTGGATACTGCACTAGTAATCAGCAAGTCTCGCGAAAGCCCTGAACCCTTCGTATCCCGAGATTTTCGAAACGAAAGGATATTCTGTGCCGTTCGAGGATACTGTAAAATTCTTGAAAAACAGCGAAAAGCTGTTGTGCCAATTCCATCAAAAGCAAATTAATTTCTTTCAAGCAACGGCTTTTAAATTGTCCTGTGATTTATCGCGATTTTGTTTTTCGGGATGGTCAGTTGATGTATTTTTAGCTTTGAATAATCGTGCGGAAATTTTCGATACGCTTCTGCCGTATTTTCTCCGCTCTTCGGGCATTATTTTCACGAAGACAACGCATGTAACTTGCATGAAAACTGATCCACATGACGCGGTCGCTTTATTTTGAACCTCGTTAGCTTTTTTTCTGTCATGATCTAATTTCCTGCAAAGAAAAGAAAAATTTGGAATGGCAAGTGATGCTGCTTTCCAAGACCAGGGGATGTCAAAACATTTTGAACGAAGTTCAGGAGGCGCAGTGTTTGCTTTTGGTCAGAAAGTTTTCGTCAGCAGTGATCACGCGAGTGTTTGGCGCACTTTGTTCCAGTTTCCTAATTTCCTTCATTAAATTCGAGGAAAGTGTGCTTTTAGCTACTTGCTAGATTTTTTGGGGGTCCAGAAATCTACATTCACCGAATTTAAAATCTCAAAAAATAGATAAACCTCTTCCGATAGAATGAGCCAAGTGAAGAAATCTGATATAATGTGAGACACCATGTATTAATTTTTTAAAATAAGTATTCGGTAATTTTAATATTACTGTAGAGTGTGTTTACCGGAAAATTAGTTTAGTTGAACAATTATTTCGATTTTTTGCGTTATCATTTGTTTTGAGGAGATGCCGGTAGACTCATATTTTTTCACTGCAATATTATGCATCCAACGAATTTTTTTATTGCTCCGGCGTATTTTTTATGATACTCAAAACGAAATTATCTCCGTCACGAATTCAATTTTTTGTTGCCTGAGTATCATAATCTGTCGTATTTTCATTTATTAATCGGCGCAATGTTGAGGTCTACACCGTTATTTTCTGACATTTTTCGATGCACGTTATTAAACATTCGCCAGAACTTAAGATTAAGTTCGCCGACAAATGAGCCGCGGCTAATGTTCTTTCAAAAACTGTACTGTAACCATTGATCGGCCACAATCTTGAGATCCTCTTTTCATCTTTGGCACGCCCATTGTTGTGTTCGAAGCGCCTGTTTCGCGCAGAAGCATGGGTGGTAATAATCTCATCGCCATGAGAGGCTCCTGCTCATGTTTGTCGTATGCTTCAGCGGTCGTGCAACTGAGTGTTTTATTGCTGCTTATGAGTTCGAAAGATCGCTGTGCGTACTTGCCATAGTGAAGATTTTGATAAGAATTTTGTACTTTCGCCTCTGTACTCTTGATTGCTGATTCTCGGTATTGCTTCTGTGATTTCGACCGTGTCCGGGCGATTGAGCGCGTCCGGAAAGGGCACAGTCAAGAAAAGCCCTGATTCGAACGTGAACTCAAGTTCGCCGTCATAATTAGTGTGCCCCAGGAAATTCAGATTTAAAAGAGCGGAAATATGTTTTTCATTTAGGTCATCGTGTTCCTGAAGTACTATACTTACGCAGATTTCAATGCGCTACTGTTTTTCTTTTTCGCCGTTTTGGGATGCGCTCATTTGTCCAGTCGCGGAATTTCGACTCCTCCGGTAGGTGCGTGACTAGCGGGCCTGACTTTCAGTGTTCTTTTTAAAAGAGGCGTTACGGAGACGTCGATTTCACTGTTGGGTGAATCCACGTTTTGATGGGAAGTTTTTGTGGTCGAATGCGGGCTTTTTTTTGTGTCATTTTCCTCATAATCATTCTGTCGGTGCCTTAAACTATTCGTGAGATGGGTGGTGACGCACGTGTATTGGGCGAACAAACTTGAGTTCGAGAGGCAAGAATTACATCCGATCTCGAGAACTTCGAATATCTTCAGATCAGTTTTGTTCCTTTATTTTCACTGCGTGTACACTTTGATGTGCAAAAAAATCAGCGTGTCTTTGAGCCACATGAGTATGAATTAAGTTTTTAAATTGTGCTGCGTTGAGTGAGCGGCGAGCCCAATTCAGGATTGGCTCAGCTGAACAGACAAGTCTAAATACATTGACAAGTACGCCATTTTTGTTTTGGAAAATTGTTACAATTTATCCGGTGCGTCACGAATTTCAATGCTGTGAGTCCGTCACGAGTGCTACGATAGGACGTCAATTCAAATCCTTATTTTGACTAATGCACGTTTCAAAAATTCCCTTCAATGCACTTATTTTCCCTTACATGGTTATACAGTACTTGAGTAATTGAAAAATCTTCCGCCTTACAGTCATGCCTGAATGTGAAGATATTTTTGACCATGTGCATGTTTTCAATGTGTCAATCGTCAGTTCAAGAGGGAAAATGTCACCAAGATTAAGACTAAGTAATCGAAGTAAATTACTTATTGCGTAAACAAGGACTTGATTTAGGAGTTAAATCCAGAATAATCTTATGGGGTGTTAAAAAGTTCCCATCTCGTGAACTAAGGCAGTTTAAGGATCATTTCCATGTTCTTACAAATCTGATTCATCCCATGTGCGCAAATATAATTTCACTGTAACAAGGATTACGCTTCTTGAATGCTTTCCTTAGTCGACCTTCCTAAGGTTTTTTCCTCTTTATTAAATTCTCTGAAATTCTCTGTCTTAAATTCTCTGAACTCGTATCTCTAATTTTGGGTTTTCCCTGATTTCTGAGGGCATCTGTTAGAATCTTCTAGGGATCATGCGTGGCCTAGGGATTAATCGCAAGATTGCGGTTTTCGTAGGGTTTTCAGTGTTTGCGTTGACAGCTGTGACGCTTTTGGGGAACTTTTTTGTAGGTTAGTTCCGGTTTTATTTTCAGTCTACGAAAAATCTCTCAAATTTTGTCGAAGTAAGCAAAAAGGAGAGTCCGTGCATTTAGTTAGAGTTGGTGATGATGACAGACTGATGAAGCTGGACGAGATCGCTTCTAACATTGCCCCTCCTTGTGAAGTTGGATGTTATAAATTGGAATCACCAAATTCTATCCATTTTTCGCAATTTTTGGATCAGCGTGAAGTCTTGGAGGAGCTATTCAAGGTTGAGGTATGTATTTTTTATGCAAAGAATTTGCACATTTTTTGGCATAATTTTGAGGCAATCAATTCATGTCATCAATATCCTGTTTCAGAGCTAGGCCATTAATATATTTGTCTGCTGGCTAATAACAATTTTAAATACTGTTATTTCTTCATCTACAAACTCATCATCTACAGGGTGGGCCAAAAAAAGTGAAACCATTTTGACTTGTAACAGCTCAGTAGCAAATTGAGCTGTGGCAATAAAAAACAACAAATGAACACTTGTGTGATTCTCTTTCAAGTGGTATAAGATTGCATGGTCCCAGTCCTTTCACTTTTTCTTTTGTCCCACCCTGCATATAGAGTGACAAATGGTCAGATAATTGGTTAGACCCTTAGTCATCTTGAAGTCACATTCATGAGTCGGACTAGAAAGTAAATATACAACTGCGAAAGGTTTGAGCTGGGGAAACTGGAACAGAAAGTTGCTATCCAACCTTATTGGGGCTGACTAATTTTGGTTTTGAAGTAAATTCGTTTTATTCCTGTCTCTGTATGCTGCATGAACCTCAATTCAAGATTTTATTTATTAAATTTTAGTTTGCAGCTCACCTTTCTAAAATCAATATCATGCAGTACTTTTCAAATTTCTTGGCCTTCAATAATGTTTTTGAAAATTTAGAGTTGAAGATCAGGTCCACTGTTGTCAAGATTCAAAGAATGAAGGAGTTTCTGGTGCAGTACTCTGTTTTCATATGGAAATATACAGGAGGGGGGTTGCTACATAATAATTTGAGTTAAATAAAGATGCCTGACTGTATTTTATCCATTTGATGACATCTGCTGGGTGAAAATGAAGAATACTGTGTATTTATCTTTTTAGGAAGGTGGATAATACTTTATTTTTTATTTTAAAATGTGTGCAAAATATCTTTTTGCAAAATTATGATTTTCCATCTACGTCAAGAACGAATCTATAAAAATGACAGGACAGTAAATTATATCGACTTCAGTATATGAATGAGGTACAGTAATCATCCTGTCACAGCTGAGCCCTCTATTTTCATTTAAAGGAGGATAAGTTTTTTGTGGAAGTGGGAGCGTTGGACGGCGAGAAATTCAGCAATACCCTCTGGCTGGAACGAGAAAAAGGCTGGACAGGATTGTTGATTGAACCAGGGAAACGCAGTTATTCGAATTTAGTGACTAAGCGAAGGAAATGTTGGACTGCCAACGCATGCGTCAGTCGATCGAATCATCAAGAGCAGCACGTGAGTCTAGGAATTTCTACCAACTGATAGAATCACTGCTGCTTAACGTAAGAATTGTTCCGATGACTAATTATTGTCGATATAAATGTCTCCTCCATGCGCAGGTACAATTTTTGCCTGTACAGTGTATAGATATGAAATTCAATTTACCAGATATTCATCATTTTTCTTCTGGAATTTTTATTTTATTTTTTTATTCCGTTTTATTTTTAATGGGAACCGGCAGAAAACGAGAACAAATGCATTATTTTATTCCTCATAAAATGTCTTCGTCAGAAAAAATGGAAATACTGCTGGGCTCAGTTTTTTTGTATCGATACTCATCGGTATTCAGAATTCGCAAATTTGAATATTCTATTTTTTTCATTTTCCATACAGGTAAAATTTATTGAAAACGTTGATGCTCCAGAACTGTCGTCCTTCTTTCACTTGACGGAGCCGATTTTCAACGTTACATTACCCGGAAACCATGAAAACATAATTGAAGTGTTCTGTCTTCCACTTGCCGATTTAATCCTGTCCTTAAATAGGACCCGAGTGGATTTTCTATCCCTAGACACGGAAGGAGCCGATGCTGATATCGTGCAAAACTTTCCGTGGCATCGCATTGACGTCAGGGTGAGTTGCTGATTTTGCCTTATTTTTTCTAGTTTTTTTTAAGTAGAGCAGTCGAGTCAGATTTTTTCCAAGGGAAAAATCGAAATATTTTCGAGGGGTTGTTGAGGATTTCGGATGATGCGTTAAAGTGGTGCAGCAGAGTTAATAGAGCTTATATTTTTCTGCGAAAAGTCTATCATTCAGAAACTGTGGAGCTGTGCTAAAATCGCTGAATTTTTCGAGATATCCCCAAAGTTGCAATTTCAATTACTGTATTATAATCTGAATATTAAATGTATAAGCCATTCCACAATTTATTCTTGAAACATTTCCATTTGTGCAGTCTCGATTAAATTTCATAAAAATTTTATTCTCGCGATTTCATTATACGGTATAATAAATGCACGCGAAAACATTCAACGGAGTTCTTGAGTACAAAAATTCCCTTATAAACCCGTAAATTATTGATGGCATCAGGAATTTCTATGATTTTTCGAAGGACAACACCTTATTTAGCATGGTCTATTATTGTATGAATGAAAATCTTGGTTCTACAACTTTATTTTGCGAGAGATATCCATTATACGGGGTAAAATTGTTCAATTTATTCTGGAAAAATTAAAAATTTGCTTTCATCCTAGTTGAAATGTAGAGAGAATGGCAAGAAAATACTGTATGCCCAATATATTTCCAAAGAAAAAAATCTACCTGCTACGTGATGCAGTATCAGAATGTTTTATGATTTCATAAAATCAGTCAATAATTCATTCCACCAACAACAATAATTAGGACTATCGTGATAGTCTTCCTGTTCATAAATCACAGGATCAGATCTGAAAGTCATGTTCAACTGAAACGATCTTTCTGGTATCTCGCAAATGTTTGAGTCATTGATGATGATGTCGAATATGGGAAGCTTGTCTTGATAATGTCTAAGAGAAATGAAGGAATTTGCTCAAGTCCCTGGTAACAATCGAGTAAATCTCAGCAGCTAATGACGATTTTTCTTTTAAATTCTTTTTCATTGTATCAAGGGTGTTTTGGTGGATTCTGTCCTAGAAATTTGCGAACCCGGAGATTCCCCTTTTTTTCTTTTATGCAGTAATGCATTTAAACTGAGGGCGCAAAAATTGTAATCGTTCCTCATTATTTTTCTCGAGAATTGCTTTCATGTTCTTGAAAGTTGCATTAAAAAGTATTCATCATCCATCGTAGGTGATCATGGTGGAAAAAGGCCAAGGTGAGACGCCGATTCGGATTTACAATCGCATGATTTCAGCAGGATATAATTTGCACAAGGAACTCAACGTTGACTTTGTTTTCGTGAAGGCTTGAAAAGCGTGACAATCTGTGCATGACATTGAGCTTCTGTCTGAATAAGCGTGATACTGTATTTGACTCGAAAATGCTTTTTTTTCGTTTCGTGATTCTAATAAAGCGAGAAATTTTATTTTTCTGCTCGAGAATGTGTATCTTCAACAGGAATTTCATCGGTCAAACTCCTCGAATGATTCAATTGGTATTGTGAAATTTATTTGCGGGCAAAATTTGTGTTTATAAGTACTGTATACCTCTTGAACGAATCGTCCCAATAAACTTGTCAGATGATATTTGTAAAATAAAATATAGTACACTACTTGTATTCAATTAATGTGCGGACGGAAATAAAAGAAATTCATCATCCTTCAAAATCCAGTTTTCAAATTCTTTTGACGCTTCATCCTGGAATCAGGAAAAAGAAAATACGTGAAGTAATAATAGATATCATTAATATATCCTAGTAAAAAGGTATTACTTGGAACATAGATTCTGTTGTTGAGGGCACAAAAGATGCGAACGCAATTTTTTTTTTTTGCTAGCGGAACGGTTTCAAAGTAAAGTAAAAAAGAAAACAGTCCGGTACTATAACGAAAAATTTCTTTAGAAATCTGTAGTTAAGTTTATTTTATTTTGTACTAACGAAAAGTATACCACACTCAACAGATTTCCCTCCTTATATAAAACAATTTAATTCCAGATTTCTGCAGACATTTCTGATTAGTGTATCGGTATTTTATTTTAATTTTCCTAAAAATATTTTGTACTAACGAAAAGTATACCACACTCAACAGATTTCCCTCCTTATATAAAACAATTTAATTCCAGATTTCTGCAGACATTTCTGATTAGTGTATCGGTATTTTATTTTAATTTTCCTAAAAAGAATACTCCCAAAATATATCAAACGTCAATTGAGCTTTTGGGCTGTTTAATTTTACCTATAAGCTCAATTTATGTTCGAAGGAATATGTGAAATTTTAGATATGCGAAGCTTTAAATTCATCGAGAACCGTTATTAATACCCAGTATCGTTAATGAAATTTTGTTACTCCCCCGCATACTAGTTATATTGACTGACTGGCGTAATAATAAGGACGACAGTAAACGTACCTAGTTAAGCATTGCCAGTGTTTTTCTTTTCTTTTGTTCAGACGAAAAGAACCTCAGTGAAAAAAATAACTTGGCAACTATGACCCAGTTACAATAATTGTGACAGATTGATTATTTTGTTAGCACATCAGGAACATATTTGCAGGTTATTCGGTTGGGAAATCGAGCTATCGATTTTCCGTTGAAAGTATAAATGGCACATGTAAATACAATAAAATATATGAAAACGTCGCGTAGATTCCATATAATTCACATTTTCAAGCTAACATATATGAAAACGTCGCATATAGAATTCACATTTTCAAGCTTCGGGTTGATCAGCTTCTCTGAACTGAATCAGAACAATCAAGTAGGTCGCAATGGTCGTAAATCCCTAAAAAAAAGTGTTAGACAATAATAGATATTATAAATTCGTATCAAATAACGAATTCGTCGGAGTTTGACCTACGGTCACGAGTAGATTCCTGTTCAGCGTCATGCACTGGAATATGGTCGCCTTCAAGGGATTCTGGGATATTTCCGTCATC